TGTTTGCCACGCTTTGCGAGCCCGCAACGGATAGGGAGACCACCCCCAGCGCACCCCCTGTCGTGTCGAGGAAGTGCCACGCCTGCCACGCTTTGCGAGCCCGTCACGGATAGGGTGACCACCCCCAGCGCACCCCTTGTGGGGCCGACGAAGTGCCACGCCTGCCACGCTGTGCGAGCCCGCAACGGATAGGGAAACCACCCCCAACGCGCCCCCTGTGGTGTCGAGGAAGTGCCACGCCTGTCACGCTTTGCGAGCCCGCAACGGATAAAGATACCACCCCCAGCGCACCCCCTGTGGTGTCGAGGAAGTGCCACGCCTGCCACGCTTTGCGAGCCCGTCAAAGATAGGGAGACCACCCCCAGCGCATCCCCTGTGGTGTCGGGGAAGTGCCACGCCTGGCACGCTTTGCGAGCTCGCAGCGGATAAGGAGACCATCCCCAGCGCACCCCCTGTGGTGTCGAGGAAGTGCCACGCCTGCCACGCTTTGCGAGCCCGCAACGGATAGGGAGACCACCCCCAGCGCAATCCCTGTGGTGCCGAGGAAGTGCCACGCCTGCCACGCTTTGCGAGCCCGTCACGGATAGGGTGACCACCCCCAGCGCACCCCTTGTGGGGCCGAGGAAGTGCCACGCCTGCCACGCTGTGCGAGCCCGCAACGGATAGGGAGACCACCCCCAACGCGCCCCCTGTGGTGTCGAGGAAGTGCCACGCCTGCCACGCTTTGCGAGCCCGCAACGGATAGGGAGACCACCCCCAGCGCACCCCCTGTGGTGTCGAGGAAGTGCCACGCCTGCCACGCTTTGCGAGCCCGAAACGGATAGCGTCCCCACCCACAGCTCCCCCCCTGTGGTGTCGAGGAAGTGCCACGCCTGCCCGAAACGGATAGCGTCCCCACCCACAGCTCCCCCCCTGTGGTGTCGAGGAAGTGCCACGCCTGCCACGCTTTGCGAGCCCGAAACGGATAGCGTCCCCACCCACAGCTAGCGTCCCCACCCACAGCTCCCCCCCTGTGGTGTCGAGGAAGTGCCACGCCTGCCACGCTTTGCGAGCCCGAAACGGATAGCGTCCCCACCCACAGCTCCCCCCCTGTGGTGTCGAGGAAGTGCCACGCCTGCCACGCTTTGCGAGCCCGAAACGGATAGCGTCCCACCCACAGCTCCCCCCCTGTGGTGTCGAGGAAGTGCCACGCCTGCCACGCTTTGCGAGCCCGAAACGGATAGCGTCCCCACCCACAGCTCCCCCCCTGTGGTGTCGAGGAAGTGCCACGCCTGCCACGCTTTGCGAGCCCGAAACGGATAGCGTCCCCACCCACAGCTCCCCCCCTGTGGTGTCGAGGAAGTGCCACGCCTGCCACGCTTTGCGAGCCCGAACGGATAGCGTCCCCACCCACAGCTCCCCCCTGTGGTGTCGAGGAAGTGCCACGCCTGCCACGCTTTGCGAGCCCGAACGGATAGCGTCCCCACCCACAGCTCCCCCCCTGTGGTGTCGAGGAAGTGCCACGCCTGCCACGCTTTGCGAGCCCGAAACGGATAGCGTCCCCACCCAGCTCCCCCTGTGGTGTCGAGGAGCCTGCCACGCTTTGCGAGCCCGAAGGATAGCGTCCCCACCCACAGCTCCCCCCCTGTGGTGTCGAGGAAGTGCCACGCCTGCCACGCTTTGCGAGCCCGAAACGGATAGCGTCCCCACCCACAGCTCCCCCCCTGTGGTGTCGAGGAAGTGCCACGCCTGCCACGCTTTGCGAGCCCGAAACGGATAGCGTCCCCACCCACAGCTCCCCCCCTGTGGTGTCGAGGAAGTGCCACGCCTGCCACGCTTTGCGCCCGAAACGGATAGCGTCCCCACCCACAGCTCCCCCCCTGTGGTGTCGAGGAAGTGCCACGCCTGCCACGCTTTGCGAGCCCGAAACAGATAGCGTCCCCACCCACAGCTCCCCCCCTGTGGTGTCGAGGAAGTGCCACGCCTGCCACGCTTTGCGAGCCCGCAACGGATAGCGTCCCCACCCACAGCTCCCCCCGTGTGGTGTCGAGGAAGTGCCACGCCTGCCACGCTTTGCGAGCCCCAAACGGATAGCGTCCCCACCCACAGCTCCCCCCCTGTGGTGTCGAGGAACTGCCATGCGTGCCACGCCTGTGCCACGCCTGTGCCACGCCTGTGCTGTGCTGTGCTGTGTTGTGTGCTGTGCTGTGCTGTGCTGTGCTGTGCTGCGGTGAGCTGTGCTGTGCTGTGCTGTGCTGTGCTGTGCTGAGCTGAGCTGAGCTGAGCTGCGCTGTGCTGTGCTGTGCTGAGCTGAGCTGTGCTGTGCTGTGCTGTGTGCTGTGCTGTGCTGTGCTGTGCTGCGGTGAGCTGTGCTGTGCTGCGCTGTGCTGTCGCTGTGCTGTCGCTGTGCTGTGCTGTGCTGAGCTGAGCTGAGCTGAGCTGTGCTAAGCTGTGCCGTGCTGTGCTGAGCTGAGCTGAGCTGTGCTGAGCAGTGCTGTGAGGAGGAGGGGAGGTGTGAGGTGAGACGCGGGTGCGACGCGGCAGGGAAGAAAACCAGAACCCCACTAAGCATGTGGGGAAACATACACGTTCGCCTCGATCCTGTTTCGCCCCACTCTCGCGACCAGATAATAAGGACGGACAATCAAACACCAATGCATAGACAATAACTTTCGACGGTATGCGCGGATGTCTTGATCCGCGCTGGACCCCATCCCTGGCGCGCGGAAGGGGGCCCGGCGCAGATCCGAGAAATCCGCGCGTTCGAGAGTGTCTGTTTTCAGGGAGGATCGGGCGTGTCGGGAGGATGGGGCGTTGCTCAATGGGGAGCGATAACTGGGGCGGGAGAGACGTGCACCTGTCGTGCACCTTTCGGGGGCCTCTGGGGTACCAAAGGTGCACCTCTCTTCCCCCCCCATTTATCGCCCCCCCATTACGCAACGCCCGAAAAGAGACGACACCAGCTTCGACGGTCGGCAGGGTACCGTGCGGCGCGGAGTAAGCCCCGCCCCAGCGTCGCCCCACCTCGGAACCCTGTCTCCCTTCTGCTCTGGCCCCTCCTGCGTCGCTGCTCGCCGTCGTTCGCCGTCGCTCGTTGTCGTCGTCGTCGTCGTCGTCCTTGTGGTCGTCCGTCGTCCGTCGTCGTTGTCGTCGTTGTCGTCGTCGTCGTCCGTCGTCGTCGTCCATCGCCAAAACTGTGGTTGGGTTGGGCACTGCTCTCGGGGGTGAGATCGAAGTGAAGCGGAGACCCCTCTACATTGTGAAATCGCTTTCGGCTCCGTGCTCGTGTCCCAGGCGAAGCTGCGTGGGCAGGCGAAAGGAATGAACCCTCCTCGGGCCAGGGCGCCGCCGGGCCGAAAGACCGCCCCCCCCAGGGTTGTCCGGCGGTGGCCAGGGGTGTCCCGCCGTGGTGTCCCGATGGTGTCCGTGGTGTCCCATGGTGTCCCGCGGAGTCCCCATGGTGTTCCGATGGTGTTCCAGTGGTGTCTTGGTGTCCCGCTGGTGTCCCGATGGTGCCCCCACGTGGTATTCCCGTAATGTTCCGATGGTGTCCCGACGGTGTCCAGTGTTGTCCCGTGGTGTCCCGCGGTGTCTCGATGGTTTTCTGATGGTGTCTTGGTGGTGGCCCGGTGATGTTCCGATGGTGTTCCGATGGTGTCCCGATGGTGTACTGGTGGTGTCCTGGTGGTGTCCTGGTGGTGTCCCGATTGGTGTCCCGATTGGTGTCCCGATTGGTGTCCCGATTGGTGTACCCGTGGTGTCATCAGTGGGTTCCTCCCCAAAAAAACCTCCCCATCACCCGAAGGATGGTCGTACAGGTGTACTAGGTGTACCCTTGGCCACGTACTGGAGCCAGAGCGGTTGGAAATTTCTCCACGTCCACCGCTAAATTGGGGCCACTTGCCGCTAAGTCGAGACGGAGCTCCATGATGATGATGATGGCGATGATGATGCTGATGCTGATGATGCTGATGCTGATGCTGATGCTGCTGATGATGACGACGACAATGATGATGAAGTTGTAGTGTAGACAACAGGATAGGTGAACGTGATGTATGTTAGTGCGCGTGGGGATCTTTGGCCACGTGTTTACGGAAGCTCTCGGTTCCGCAGCTGGCGTTCGTGCTTCACCCACGCGAGTTACACTATAATGACCCTATATCGTGGGCGCTTATCGACTGCGTTCGTTGGTGGCGGCCCCTTTGCGGGGGCGCGTCGCTCGTAGGGCATACCGTCGGGCCCGTCCGACAAAAACAAATCGCGCTTCACCAAAACGAATTACACTGAACTGTACTGATCCTGCACCGTGGGCGCTGATCGACTGCATTGGTGGGTGACGGCCCTTTTGTGGGGGCGCGCTGGTCGCAGGGCCTACCGTCAGGCCCGTCCGACAAAGAGTGGAACGCTGCTACCGTCGCGCCCGCAAATCGACGACGACGACGACCACCACCACCACCACCACCACCACCACCACCACCACCACCACCACCACCACCACCACCACCACGGACGATGGACGACGGACGACGGACGACGGACGAACGACGACGACAGGTTGCGCCCGGCAGGCCGCAAACCATGGGAAACCGCAGCCTGGGGTAAGCCGTCTATTCGGCACCACGCTTCGACCACCTGCTCCCCCCCCTCCGTCCCTCTCTCCCTCCCCCCCTTCTGCCCACTCCCTCCTCCGCTGCCTCCCACCGCTTCATGGGGGCGACAAAAAGGGCGAATAGCCCAGGGGGAGCACGCATGTATCCTCCAGGGGCGCCGCCGGTGCGAGGCTCCCCGGCGAACACGTGTAATGCCCGCTCCTGGGCTTTCGCCCCCATCTTCGCCTCCGACATTCCCGCGGGTCTTTTTCACCAGAATTTCGAGGCGAATGCGGCGGTGGAGACCGGGGCTTCCCAGGAGGCTCAAAAAGGCGAGAACGAGGCGAGGCCCAGAAAGGCGATGCGACGACAGAGGCTATTGGCCCCGTACCGTCGCCCCCGACCTTCCCTCCGCCCTGCCCGGGGCCGCTCCTCGCCGCCGGCGGCGCCCCGCAGCGTCGCCAGCAGCAGCAGCCCGGCCAGGCAGCCTCTGCCCATGCCGCCCCGGGGGGCGGCGCCCGGCCCGCCGGCGGGGGCCGTCGGCCGGCGTCCGGCGCTGGGCCCTCCTCCTCCTGCCGGTCCCGCCCCTCTCCCGCCCTTCTCCCGCCTGGCCACTCGCCCTCTCCCTCCCTCCCTCTCTGCCTCCCTCACTCCCACCCTCACCCTCCTGCCCACCACTCCCCCCCTCCCCCTCCCGGGTTGCTGGGATGCTCGGCAGACAGTGCACCGTGCAAGCACAGCACCATGTGAGGAAAGGAGCTACGCAGGTCTCCTCACCGCCCTGAACTCACGGCCCTGGGGTAGGAGCACAACCCATCCCAGACCAGAGGGACCGACCTCCCCACAAACTTCTTTGTGCTGGGGTCGATCCCTCCCTTGAGCATCTTCAAAGAGTCCTCTGCGTGCCGATTGCGCGGGCCCCCGTGGCATTCCTGGAGGAGGTAGGGGCGGGCCCGAGCGCTTCCAAAAGCAGCGCAACGCACACACCAGGCAACCCTCCCCCCCATCAGCCACAGACGATGGCTCTTGTGGCAGGTCCGCGCAATCTTTGGTGGCCCTCCGCAGGGAAACACACAGACCGTGGCACGAGTCTTCCCTCGCTCGCCGCAGTGGAGACACAGATATGAACCTTTTGCTACACACTCGACAGCATGGCCTCTCGCGTCTGGGACCAGCTCCAGGAGAGACGGCTTGGCCCGACGGGGCCTGCGGATTTGGGAAACGTCAGGAAAACCACGGGCCGATAAATCACCCATGATTTCTGCAATCAGCCATGCCGACTGCCGAATCAGAGGCTCCAAACCTTTAAACTGCCCACGCGTCCAAGGGTTATGGGGTTGGGCCTCGGCTCCACGACGGGCCAGTTCATCAGCCTTCTTATTACCCCGCCATTTCCAATCGTCTACTGCTAACCTACGGGCCTGGGCCAGGGAGAGGTGAGACCTAATCTTAGTCACAGTTATCCTATCGGGGCCGATCTCAGTCGCAAGCCTGAAAATGTCCACCCAGAGCTCCGAGAAAGCAACCTTTTCCAGATCCTGAGCAGGTCCCAAAGTCCAGGTGTCCAGGACGGCCTTACAGGTCTGTGACAATCTCCATGGCCTCTGGCCCCGCGGGCCTCAAAGCCATGACCAGCGCATACACTTCCCCGCAGCCGCTGGTCTGGACTGCGTGGGGCAGCGGTCCGAACGCAGACCCAGTAACATAACCTCCCCAAGAGTCCAGAGACATGGAGACGACCGCCCATCCAGCCCTCGTGAACTGAGGTAACTCGGGGTCCAATCCAGACCCATCCAGACATATTCTCGGCCCCAGGTGTCCCCCAGGAGGAAACACATCCCACTTGTGACCAGCTACGGTGTGTGCGGCGCTGGCCACTGCCACTCTGGACTCGGGGCAAGCGCACGGGTGACCAGCAACTGGTTGGCGGGCGTGCAATCCAAGGCAAGAAGGTCACCCACGTCTAGATCACGCCGAACAGCGGCATGAGCTGGGCAGCAGCGGAAGCGATGACTGGGCGTGCCCAGCCGCTCTCCACAAAGCTGGCAGAGGGGGTCCACAACACGACGATCATCATACAGAGTCAGCTGGGTTGGGTAGCCTCCAGAAACGATCCCAGCAAGTCCCGTGGCCGCAGTGAACCTTTCTTCTCCCCGAAGCTTCTGAAGGACCTCGATGGCGGGCTCGAGCATAGGCCCTCCAGAAAGACCTGGGACTCTGACCCCATCTCCCAGACCTCTTAGCTGCATATCCCGAACAGACTGGTGGAGGACAACCTTGAGCGACCTGTATCCCAAGACGCTCACATCCACTTCCACTCCCCGAACAGTCACAAAATTACACCAACTTTTTACCTGCCAACCCAGCCTTTCGATCGCGAGGACAACTGCGCCCGCGGGTCCACGGACATCTTGCCACCCACGAGCAGGTCGGCGATAAAATGAATTGAAACACTCCTCCATGACACGCTGCTCTGCCCAACTCAAGCGAGCGGCTTGTCCCCAAGCAAGGATGGGTAACGCATGCACATCATGTGATGGGTCCGCCTTGGGCTCCACCGAGAGGAGAAACTCCAACGTCCTGCACCTCCCTTTTGGAGTCCCAAAAAACGCACTCCCCAAGCTAGCTCGAAGCTGACCAAGGGCGGAGGTGGACATACCATTGACACGGCAACCGTACGTGGCCGAGGGAAGGCCTCCCGCCCGAGCAACCTTGAACAAACCCTTCTTGGCACTACTGAGCCCTCGGAACCTGCCTTTCCGAAGCCTGATTGTATGCAACCGTTTTTGGAGGGCCTTGGATCCCTTGGCTCCTTTCTGCATCGTCTGGTCGCAGCCCAGGTTCCGTCCAGAACTAGCACCAGTGAAATTCCACTTCTTAAGCCTAGACACAATGGTCACCCTCGCCGCCGAGTGACTGCAAAGGACGAGGCCCTTCGACCTCGAGATCACCAGCAGCAGCTTCTCGAGCTGCAGGCACAGAAAGCACACAGCACGGGGCAGGACGCTCTCGACATGTTTCCTACTACCCGAAGCCTGCGCCGTGATGTCGTCTACTACATTGAACAACCGCACACTAAAGTAAAGCTCCCTGGTGAGGTCCATGGGGTCCATGAGCATCACACGTAAAAGCGTCGTAGCAAAACCACAGCCTGCCAGGATCCCTTGGAAAGCCAGCACGGGGGTTCCAACGACTCCACACACATTGATGATTCTTCTCGCACGGTAGAGCGACAGCAACAGGCGCAGCTTCACCAGGCTAAACTTATGCTTGACGGCCGCGACGGCCAGCAAATAATGGCACACCTTCTCGTAGGCCTTTGTGAGGTCCACGAGGCACGAGCCTGAACAGCCACCTGCACTGACATGCTGCTCGACCGTCAAGCTCTGCTCCCAGACCGCTCGTTCGCAGCTCTTGCCGTGCACTCCGTAAAGGTAAGCACGATTATTATCGCGCTCCCATCGCTTTATCTCGCCCCGCGACAGCTTGGAGAACACGCGCGTGGGTGTGGGCAGCAGAGCTATCGGGCGAAAACCTCCCTCGGGCTTCCCCAACATGGCGAGGATGGTGGTGCGGAGGATGGCGGGGTAGGTGCCCAAGAGCTCCATCTTAGGCCACAGCGCACCCACAACTTCCAGCAGGCCATCCGAGGCCTTGTCCAGGTCCCGAGGCCGAAGTGCATCCACCCCAGCCGCCGTCCTTTTCGGGAACTTCCTGATGGCAACCCTGATGTCTCCCACGGATCGCTCCTCCGAACACAGCTCCTGGACCGAGACTCCCTGCTCATCAGCCGGGGCCTGGATCTGGTGCGTCAGGAACTGGATGGGATCGGGGAACTTCGAGGCCTCTGGGAGGGGCTCCCAGATATCACACCAAAACTTGGTAAGCCCGTCAACCGTCTCTTGAGGTCCCAGCGGGACCGAACATCCTCCAGCCTTGACCGTGCTAGACTCAGGGGCACCCAGCCGATCGGGCACTGCGAATATTTGCGCGCCTTGCCAGCGCCAGCAGACACAGCCTCCTGCACCCACTCGCGCCAACGCTTGCCACGCTCCGAGGTAAACTTGCGTTCGTACACTTTGGCGAAACCTTCTGCCTCATCGCCCCAGGCCTGCAACTGCTCGAGGGGGGGCGTGACGCATGCATCCAAAAGACGGGACCCACTGCTGCCAGGACGTGTCTTTGCGCAACTGCTTAGGCCCCCACTCGACCGCCTTCAGAAGCCCCATAGACTCGCTTTCACCCCATCTGAGTCCCCGTCTCTTGATGTAAACCAGCTCCGAGAAAAGCTTGGAAACGCGACGCCGCCCACGACTCTCAGGACTTCCGACGGGATACCGACCTCCAGACGTCCTGACAGCTGATACTTTCACAATGGTAGGCTCCTCCGCTCTACCAAAGTACTGTTTCTGATCCAAAACTCCGTGATAGGTCCCAAGCTCACGTTCCAGCGACTCGACGAATAACCGATAGCACGCATCCAACGACTCACGATCCCCAACCGATCGAACAGAGTCCAGGAGCTCCCGATAATCGAATGGTTCTGGCATGGGTCCTATCACAATGTCCTGCGGGAAGGCCCTCGGCTGGCGGAGCGACTGGACCAGCGCGCTCAAGGGCTCGCTGCGAAACTTGACCACGACGGGCCAGTGCGGCTTCGTCGACGCCTTCCTACTGATGGCACAAGAATGGACGCTAGCCGCCAGACCTGCAGACATCACAAAATAGGCGATCGTTCTCCAGACCTTGGCAGTGGACTTACACGTGTAAGAAGCTGGCTTCACAATCTGTCCCCCAAGACGGCCAGCCCACCCCAACTCCTGGAGTCTATCTGGTGAAACGTTCCAGTCACCTCCAAGGACAAACGGTAAGCCCCAAGAATGTAACTGCTCTCCGATTCTACTCAATATTTGGCTCCCAGTAGGCCCCAATGGGTCCTGGTCGGGCAAGTAGATGGACCCAATGATGAGCCCCCCTGGCACATACGCGTTGACCCACATCAGCTGCTGGCGATGCGGGCTCGGCAAGCGCTTGACGTCCGTCGGCGGCAAGCCCAGCCCGACGAAATCCCTGCACGCAACAGTGGCGCCTCCTGACAGGCCTCCAGCCTCGGTGACCTCCGGCGGGTGAAGGGGCGCCTGCCAGCCTAGCTTCTTCAACTGAGCTTCGCAATCAACTCGATCCGACGGGTCAACAGTTAGTTCCTGAAGCATGACGATATGACTCGGAGCTTCCCCCTGGAGAAACTGCTTTGCCGAGGACCAAGCCGTGGTATTACAGGTTTCTAGACAGAAAAACTCTCCCTGGCGAGACCTTGACGATTTATTCTCACTCTGCCCTGGCTGGGCCAACCTATTCTTACGAACTACTTGGGGCCCTGTAAGAGGCCTGGCACTAGGGGGGAGAGGAAGAGCTGGGGACGGCAGATCGGG